GGAGCTGGCGCCCTCCTCCTCCGCGCGCTTCACCTGGAGGGCCCTCCTCGCCGCCCCTCACCCCACCCCTCTGGCGCACACCTCCCCGCACGTACACACGCGCGCGGGCACCCGCGCTCCCTCACTCGCACTCCCGAGTGGGTGTGATCTGCGAGCCGAGATGCGCTCTCGCGCCCAGTTCCTTCCCGGCCTCCGCGAAACCCGGGCGCGGGCCGGGTGCCCTTCGGGCTACGCAATAAGTAGAACTTCCTACGAAACTACTGTAGACTAGAGTTGCAACTAGAAAACGCTGGCTACTTTAGGCTTTAGGTTTCTCCGGTTTCTCTTGGGTGCAGCCAATTGCAAGGCTACAAACGATGACTTCAAAATGCAGCTAAGAGTTACTATTCGAAAATAAGGATGTTTTCTGTCTAACGGGCTAGAAAGGGAGCCACCAAGACAGCTGATAAATAGCTAATGTACGATTTATTCCTCTTTTCTCCGCTTCACTGCTCTTTCAGGAACTTTTGTTAACCCTTTAGGTATACCAACCTGAGCAAGTAGCACATGGAAGTGAGATGCCCTGGCCTAATTAATAAATTGGATCATTGGTGGAAATGATGAAGCATTTCTTTAGCATACCCTTTTTTATCCCCAAAACTGTTTCCAAGACAACAATTATGTTTGAGCCAAAATTTAATTATGTGTTGATCTATCTTTATTTTACAGGAAGTATTAGTCACACACACTGGTGTGTTTTAGTTCCCTAACGCCAATGAAAACATTTTTGGGAAGCCAATCCTTGTTTTTTCATCTTGGGAGGGAGTTTAATTTACACATTCATGTAATAGGAAGGAGCTGTGAAGTGTGTAGATTTTTTTTTTATCCCTGAAGTTGTTATTGGATGTTCTAAAATATTTTCCAAATCGGATACACACGCTAGAAAGGTGACTACAGTATTAGGAAAGCTAGCACCAAAGAACATTTCCATCGTGTGTGTGTGTGTGTGTGTGTGTGTGTGTGTGTGTGTGTGTGTGTGTGTGTGTGTGTGTGAGAGAGAGAGAGAGAGAGAGAGAGACTGATGCTCAGTTGCATCCTAAAGGGGTGAACCAATCAATCAGTCTAAATGCCACCTCATTTATCACTCTAACCTGAGAATAAAGAATTCTTATTTGGAAGATTAATTACTATTCATGGATTTTTCTTTTCATCTTGGCTAATTGACTTCCTTGTACTGCCCTTTTCTCCAAATGATACCTCTAATGCTTATTGTTTTAAATGTAGGGGCAAAAGCCCACATGCATGTGTCTTTTGTGTCTGCCCTCTGGTAACTACTGTTATTCATTCAGAAAGAATGTAAACACAATCTGTGTTTGCCAGGTAATAATGCTGAAAGAGTATAGCCAGAGTAACAATAATGAATACTAACAAGTATACTTCCAATACCCTCCGTATCCTCCAGTAGGTTTGGGACTCCCTCCCTTGAACATGTTTGTGGTAGGTATCCAGAGTACTTGTACACATGGTACCCAGCATTTTGTTGCTTATTCCCCAGGTCACCTCGGTCCCAGGTCAGGGGTGGTAACTTTCCTTGATATGCAATTAGAACTCCTACCTTCTGGGATTCCTAAGGGTTTATCCATAATTCTGCAGCTCTTCTCCTCCCAATGACTTCCTCCTTGTTTTTTTCATCAGCCTTTGTGAAAATAGAACCACAGCATGCCATGTCTCCACCTTACAGACAGACTCAGACTTGCTGACTCCTAGGCCTAGTGTCCCTTGTATTCAATCTGGCACCCACGGAATACCAGAGGGTGGATTTAAATTAAAATGCATATTAAGAGGGTGTTCCTAATTCTCCTGCACTGCTGGTAGAAATGCAAACTAGTACAAACACTATGGAAACTGTTTGGAGTTTCCTCAAACTGCTAAACATGGAGCTTCCATATGACCCAACAATCCCACTGCTAGATATCTACCCAAAAGACACAAAAACACTGTCAAAAAGATACTTGCTCCCCCATGTTTATTGCTGCATTATTTACAATTGGAAAAATATGGAAACAGCCCAAATTCCCAAAAGTAGATGACCGGATTAAAAAGATGTGGTACATATACACAAAGGAATATTACTCAGCAACCAAAAAAAAAAAAGAAACACATGCCTTTTGCAGCAACATGGATGAGCTGGAAAAGATCATGCTTAGTGAAATAAGCCAGAAAGAAAAGGAAAAACTGAATGGTATTGGAGTATAATGGACCAGGTGAGAAAAATAACAATAATAATAATAATAATAATGAACAGTTATATACAATTTATGAGATGGAGTGGGGAATGGGATCAAAAACAGTGGGGAAAGGGAAATGCATTGGACTTTGGTGATGGCACATGGGTGATTTGGTGATGGGAAACCCAAGGGGATTACAACTGAGATGGGAAAATGCACAAACTGATGTAAGAATAAACATATATATATATATATATATATATATATATATATATACATATATAAAGAGGGTGTGGTAATATATATATATATAAAGAGGGTGTTCCTATCATCAGTTTCCTCTGAACTGAAATGTCTGAAGCACTGGTGATGATTGTACTCATAGGCTTCATTGTTTTTTTGTTTTTTCATTGTATTTAAGGACTAAGTTGAATATATAGCTAACAGCAAAGATTTTACTTATTTTCTACAAACTAAATATTCTCGAAATTCACAGACCATTTGTATAGTTATTAGTACAAACTAAGTGCTATCTGCTACTACTAGTTGCAGCTCTCAGTACTTGTCTGCATTGAGCACACCTCTAAAACCAAGATCTCAATATCAGGGGACAATGTCAAATTTGAGATCTGACATAGTCACTGCTTTTGATCATTCTTGAATATTATTTTTTGTTACCACATTTCTTTAAACATAAATTCTTCTTTCTCTAAAATGTTTTTATTCACACATTAATTAGAAAATTAAAAAGAGAACTCTTTCTAGTTTAATGCATGTTGTTACTTTCACCAAATAGTGCTAATTAATAGTTGTTTATTTGTGCTCTTTCTCCATCTATATATTTATTTACTTATTTTATTTTCATAAATTTGTAGATTTTATATGTTATTTACATAGAAAGCACAGATATATAAAGATGTGTAGTATATGATATATACCTACCTGTGTTATATATAAACATATATGAACATAAGTGGTATAAGGCACCTCTAGACTCTATACTATCTTCCTTTTCTTTTACCTTCCTCTTCTCTGTTATGTCCAACTTCCATATTCTGATAGGTTTGCACAGGATGGGAAAAAAAAAAAATTAAAAAGAAAGCCTAGACTTATTAGAAAAATATGAGGTAAAGAAAAGCTACGATACATTTTATTCTTACATATTAAAGATAGAACTAACTTGTAGAGAAGAGACATATAACTTTTAAATACCATGAAATAATTATACAGCAAATACCTGACTTACTTTTCTACAGTTCTTCAACTGTAAAAAAGAGGTAAAAAGAGGGCCCTCCCTGATGGCACGGGGGATAAAGCATAACATTAGGAAGGGAAAGACACTTCAGCATGAGTTCAATCCCTGCCTCGGAGATGGGAGATGATCCACGTGGCACCAGAGACCTCTCCTGACCTGCTGGCTGCTCCCCTCAGCATTGTACTGCGTCAACCAGCTTTTTCTGCTGCCCACTCTGTCTCTGGTGAATCCTCTAACCGCCCTGCACCTCTAGCCTGTACCCCAGTAATAATTAAAATTTTTTTTTTTTAAAAAAAAGAGGTAAAAAGAAATAGAAATTGCCTAACTTCTTAAAAATCCATTTCCTGAATGGACAGAATACAGTTGAATGGTTTCCTGGGCCTGCTTTGAAAGGACAGTGTGCTTTTGGCTCTTTTTCCCCTAGTTTTCCTCCTTCACACCCATGGAAGAGAACTTGGAATCACTGAAGAAAAGGAGCTCCAGGTGGGGAAAAGAAACACAGCTGTTTCTGTTTATTTTTTTCCACCTAAGTTCCCTATAGAAATTTCAAACTTTTATGAGATAACATAAAAAAAAAACAAAGCAAAACATTGTATTTCTTTAAATCATAAAGTGAAAGTCTCAACTTTTTGAAAATAGAAGAAAACAAGAATAAGAAGGAAGGCGGGGAGAGGAAAGTTTGGAAAGGAAGAAGGTAGTATATAAAATACATATATATATATTTATATAATGGTATGTGCTCTTTATCCTATTCTTGCATTTATGGACTGAGAGTTTCCCTTCCTTATCTTTTTCTTAAACTTCCTCTTTACTTTTTCAAGTGACAATAGGCTATAAAAATGCTTAGAGATAGGGCCCTCCCGGGTGGCGCAGCGGGCCAAAGCACTGCACTGAGAAGCTAAAGCCACTTCCGCATGAGTTCGATTCCCGCCTGCCCCGGAGGAGACCACATGGCGTGGCAGACCTCTCCTGACCCGCCCGCTGCTCCCCTCAGCAGTGTACTTCGTCGATCTGCCTGTTCTGCTCCCCACTCTGTCTCTGGTGAATCCTCTCACCCTCCGCATCTCTGGCCTGTACCCCAGTTCTATATGGATAAATAAATAAATCTTTAAAAAAAAATGCTTAGAGATAAACTCAGTCATAATTAATACTTCTAAGTTTCCCCAAACTAATCCCCCATTGGCAAGAAAAAGATGCAGTAATTTGAGTGCCCCCAAACTTATTCCCAGATGCCTAGTTTGCCTCCCCCCCCAAAAAAAAAAAAAACAAAAAAAAACTAGAACCTAGTCCTCAACCCACACTGGAGATATTCTTACAAATTTTTTTTCAAAGATCTGTAGAAAGTCAAAACTATGAAAAAGAATAGGAAATGTATCACATGGTCACAAATATGGAAGCCCAAGTTCTTTCTACAGTTCTCAGATCTCAGTACAATATTAAAAGGAAAGCAATAATGAAAGAATGATAATCTTAGAGAGTTATAGAACTATGGTTCTCAAAACTGTGTGCCAATGTACCATGTCAAGTTACCCTGGGGATGCCATAGAACATTTAAAATTCTTTGGGGAATCATTGTGTTACCTGTTGGAAACCATGTAAACTAATGTTATATTTAATGATCTGGATCACATTTCTATTAGTAATTTCTCTTGGCATCATTTAAACTGAGACCCAAAGCCTCCATATACCAAGAGTACAAGACCTTAAATTAGAAACTTTTGATAAAGAGCAGAAAGTATCAGGACAGAGACTATTATCTTAGCAAT